CTACTAGTTACCTCGTATCCGGCCTCCGCACTGCATCTTTCCTGCGCTGAATTTTTATACTACTATTTGCCTCACTGTTTTGTTTAAACTGTCTCCAAGTATTACCGGTGCGCGAGAATTCATGGGCCGTGAAAACGACATGAACCGCGATCAACGAGTGTGAGCGAATCAGCAAGCGTAATCCTGCGTTGCCCTGCAGCCGTTTCAACCCTAACGATCCGACAAGCGTTGACGCTATCGGCTGGGGACGCGTTCGTGCGGCTTGCCGAGTCGGCATGCAGCAGCTTTCGTAGCGATGAGTCAACTTCCGAAAGGGGCGCCGTCTCCTCTCGTGCTTGAAGATTACCACGGTCAACTTCTTGCTTGTGACGATGGCGATCTCGGAACTAGAGAACGGCAGTTTTTCCCAGAAGCCGGCGATATTCGGTGGCTCGCTCGTTGTTGGTTGTTGATGCCAGCCACCCAAAATGCAATTTTCTTTATTAACACGCCCTTGTCAGCACGGCTTTATGCAAGACGCAGTGCCACGTACGACTCGTTCTGGACCTGCAAAGCTAGAAAAGAAAGGATGGGTGGCAACCAAGTAGGGGGCGTGAGGCACCACGAGCAGACACGCCGCTGGGACCGGGGTAAACAGGTGGTGGGTAGTCCGTGGCAGGTGCTGCGCGTGGGAGTTTCATCTCTGCTTACACACCTTCCCACCCTCTCGTCGGAAGGTGCCCATCCCCCGGCATAAATACACCTTTGATGAGCAGGCTGCATATGCAAGCCAGTATATATCACATCCCATCGCCACCCACTCGGGCACCAGTTGACTGTACAACCAGTAGGCTGCGAAGACCAGGCCGTCCCTCCTGACTTGGCAACTGCGCTAGAAAATTCACATAAGTATAATTGGGTAGGAGCATCCCTGCTGGTGGCTGGCGCCTGCATACTGGTTTCACTTGGATGGGCCGAGTTGCCTTCTTTCCGTTGGTTCATCCGTCCGTAAACATTTGGGCGTGAGCAATGCAAAGGTCCACGGCACAGTTGGCTGTCACATTCGTACCAACGGTGCACCACAACCTGACGCCGCCTTATCCCTTGTCAACCTTCTAGAGAGTGTAGCTATCCCCCGCCCAGATTTTATGAGGTACCGGAACTGCGTCCCAAGGCTTTCCGAGAGTGTCGCCGCATTGCTTCCTACCCGAGAGCGGGTACCGTGTGTGTGCCATGTAGTTTACCCCCAACTGATTCAACCTGTATTATCGATGGTGTGCTTATGTGGCCTTCTTGCCATCGGACATTGATTTGTTCCCTGCTGCCGCTGTGTGATTTGGGCTCAGGGCTACCGCAGGTAGGCCAGCCAGGTTTCCCAGAATTCATTCCATCGTGTTTACATGCATCCACCTATGGGGCTTCGGCTTGTAAAGGTTAACCGCCAACAGAGAGGGCAGTTGCAGCCTTTGGTGTTCGCCCAAAACAAATACCAGGTGGCTGGGCAACA